AGACTCAGTTTTATTTATTTTTAAAAATATTTATTTATTTGGCTGCATTGGGTCTTAGTTGTGGCATGTGGGATCTTTAGTTGCGGCATGCAGGATATCTTAGTTGTGGCATGCAAACTGTTAGTTGCATCGTGTGAGATCTAGTTCCCTGACCAGGGATCTAACCCAGGCGCCCTGCATTGGGAGCACGGAGTCTTAGCCACTGGACCACCAGGGAAGTCCCTAGACTCAGTTTTAAATCTTGACTCCATCTCTTACCAGATGATGGCCTTGGGCAAGTTTCTTATTCTGACTGAACCAGATTCATCATCTGTCAAATGGGAATCATATATATGTTCTATGTCCTTTGTAGTGAGGATTAGCCAATATCTTATTTGCAATACTTTCTGCACTTCGGAAGAATGCAAGCTATAGTGATCACAACGACGATGATGATGACGACACAGAATACTACTCTCTAACTTGGCTTGACTTGTTTCTGGAAATTAAAAATGAGTAAAGAAAATTCCCCATTCACTGAGAGTGTAGAGTGTTTAAAAATGTTGGGCTATGAGAAAGGGAAGAATATGTCTTTGGACATGAAAAACCCCAAGTGATTATTTTTTCTTGAGAGGGCTGTATAGAATATGTGTACCAATCAGAGTCGTTTGAGAATTTCTGAGATGAAAGAAATTTTAGAGCTTATCCAACAAGCTAACAACACTCTCTCCAATATTTCCGACGGGCATGCATCCAGCACCTGACTTCATGTATATGTGAATGTAGACATGTGTGTATATGTTTACGTGGGCAGAAGAGCAGACTGTTTTTTTGTTTTTCTTTATAGTTATTCATTGTATGATTTTATCCCTACAATATATGCAGAAATACATACATTTTTACTAAAGAACCTCAACATAACTGTGAAAAAAATGTTGTGTTAAGGACCCCCTAATTTTACATTTACATAAACCTATTATAATTATCCATTTAAAAACTGACCATCACGCACCTGTCGACAAATCCATTTGGAAATTTTCATCTTCCTTAGTGATCTCCAGCAGTGTCATCTGAACCTAAAGTCAAGTATAAATAAAACCTCAAAAAGTGTTGCTTTGAAAAAATTGATCTGTTCTCTGCAGTCTACATTAAAAAATGTCATGCTTGCTTTACCACTTCGTTTCAAGACAAGGCCTCTAATTAACCCCTTCCCACTCTCTTCCAGTCAGATTGCTGAAACTTTGGCGCCACCATTCCTATTTCTTCTTATTATCACTTGGCCTTCCCACCCAATTTGATGGGCGGCATGACTGATTCGAACCTTGAAGTAAAGCAGCATCAAAGTGCTCTAAGATGCTGCGGGAAACAGTATGGCAGTTCTGCAAAAATTTAAACGTAGAATTGCCATATGATCCAGCAATTCCACTTCTAGGTATCTACCCCAAAGAACTGAAAGCAGGGACTTGAACAGATATTTGTACACGTCCATGTCCATAGAAACATTATTCACAATGGTCAAAAGGTGAAAACAACCCAAATATCCACTGATGGATGAATGGATAAACAAAATGTGATATATACATACAACAGAACATTATTCAGCCTTAAGAAGGGAAGGAAGGAAACTGTGTACACACTACCACATGGAAGAACCTTGAACACATTATGCTAAATGAAAAAAGCCGGTCACAAAAGGACAAATGTTGTGTGATTCCACTTATCTGAGGTACCGAGAGTAGGCAAATTTATAGAGACAGAAAGGAGAATAGTGGTTACCAGGGACTGAAGAGAGGGAGAAATGGGAGTTACTGCTTAATGGATATAGAGTTTCAGGGAGGGACGATGAAAAGGTTCTGGAGATGGGTGATGCTGATGGGTGAACAACTATGTGAATGTACTTAATGCCACTGAACTGTGCACTTAAAATGGTTAATTTTACATTACGTGTATTTTACTGCAATTCTTTAAAAAGTGATCTAAGATTGTATGAACTCACGCAACATGTAATGCCACCAGTATGCAGTAGAGGGCAAAGGAGCGTACGCTTCACAGAAAAGCTTGATTCAATCACTGCTCCAGCCAATTCTAGTCCTGTCTATGAATCATCCACACCTGCAGCTCTGACGGAGACGCTGCAAGCCTGAGGGTAAGAACTCTTTAGTTTTGTTTGCTGTTAACACTCATGAAAATGAAATAAGGGCTGCATAGTCTTTTCTAAAGAAAATGGGAGGAAAGTAGATTTGTTCAGATTTTCAGTATTTATTATTTTGCCTATACTAATCTAAATATTAATGATTAGTGAGTGACCTTGGGCTTACTATTGATCACTATTGATCTGAGGAATTGTCTTGCAACTGCTTGAGGGTTTGGGTTTCCGGAAATTTATGACAGCTAGCAGAGTATAAATAGCTTCGGAGAGAGGCACATAAGGTGGGAAGAGAGGAAGAGGCCACAGTGGCAACTAGTCCCGGCAACGGAATTAGCCTCGGTAATCACACCCTAAGCTCTTTCATTTGAGTTTGAAATGCCTTCCATTTGGGTTCCGAAGGAACCAGATAGGTCTGGGTTCAAATTCGTGCTCTACCGCTTATTCACTGGCTCGCCTTGGGCAAGTTACTTAACCTCTGAGTTTTAGCTCCTCCATTTGTAAAATGGGGATAAAAGTATCCAACATTTTGTTGGGTTGTTGAGAGGATTGAACAAGATAATGAATGTATGGAAAGCATTTAGCTCCGTGCCAGGCAAACAGGAAACGCTCATAAAATGTCAGTCTTTCTTACTCTTATGTTGTAAAGATTATTCAACATTCGATGGGTTTTTAACCCCTTCTCCATTTTTTGTTTTTGCATCATTGGGAAAAGAGAAATTAGATGTTTAAGTATTCTTTGGCAAGCCACCAATAATCATTTCATGGTGTCTTTCGACTTGGACTTTTAAATCATAAACTGTTAAAGAAAGTCATTCTGTTTTTCACCTGATTTCAGCACCCAGTAACAGTAGCATGACTATGATAGTAACATATTTATTGACTGCATCTTTCATCAAAAGTTTGTCCTACTTTTAAAAATGTTTAAATGAAATGCCATAATTTATATGCATTGCCTGAGAGAGAGGACCTTTTTATTTTATTGTATTAAGAGAAGTTCAGAAAGAGTTAGTTCCTCTCACTTTTTTAGAATCAGTTTCAGATGAGGTTGTGGTATTGGGCAGAGAGAAGAGTAAAACATGGGTAAAACATGAAAGCTATGACATCTCAACTCAGGGGATTCCAGATAAAGCAACTGGGTTGCTATAGCTCCTAGACATAGTATTTTTCAAGGGCCATAGCTCCTAGACATAGGAGCAACTTAAAGTAAGTCGCTATGAACTGAAGTACTCTGTGAGATAATAATGTTAAAAACACCTCATCGGGCTTCCCTGGTGGCACAGTGGTTGAGAGTCCGCCTGCCGATGCAGGGGACGCGGGTTCGTGCCCCCGTCCAGGAAGATCCCACATGCCGCTCCGCGGCTGGGCCCGTGAGCCATGGCCGCTGAGCCTGCGCGTCCGGAGCCTGTGCTCCACAACGGGAGAGGCCACAGTGGTGCAAGGCCTGCGTACTGAAAGAAAAAAAAAAAACACCTCATCTTCTTAATGACTATAACTGCCAATGTCCTACCAAGCCACACTGGAACCTGAGACAAGAGGAAAAATCAGTAATACTAACCCTGTCTTTATGAAAAAAATCGATATTTTGTTCATTATGGATTTTATATTAATTTAAAAATATTTTATTAAAATATTATTTATCTTGATTACTGAGTTTCTTGGTGCCTCTTAAAATATGTGCCTGAAATCACCCTAGTTTTAGCCCTGATAACTGCTACCATTTGTGATATGCTAGGTGTGATACCAAGTGGTTTACATACATTATCTCTTTTATGCCTTAGTGATCAATTCCTATCACTAAACTCATTCTCTGATTATCATGCACTGCATCATAACAGGAATTCATAACTCCAATTAATTCATCCGATACATATTTGTGAGAGCATATTATGTACCGCATTGTGCTAAGGAATAAAAAATTGAGATAATTCATTTACTCATATATACATTAATGTATTTACTGAGCACATGCGATGTACCAGGCACTATTCTCTGTGCTGGGAATACAGAGATGAGCCAGATTGTCGGACCCCTTCTCTCATGGGTGTGAGCGGTGGGGAAGTAATCAACAACAAATAAATGAACAAAAGTTTCAGATAGTGGTAAGTGCTCTATTTTGTAGAGAAATAAAATAGGATGAAGGGAATGAACACCAAGTTAATCTAAATGGCCCTTTTTTTCCCATTTAAAAAAATTATTTATTTTGTTTATTTATTTTTGGCTGCGTCGCGTCTTCGTTGCTGCGCGCGGGCTTTCTCTAGTTGCGGCGAGCGGGGGCTACTCTTCGTTGTGGTGCGCAGGCTTCTCATTGCGGTGTCTTCTCTTATTGCAGAGCACTGGCTCTAGGCACGCAGGCTTCAGTAGTTGTGGCTCGCGGGCTCTAGAGCACAGGCTCAGTAGCTGTGGCGTACGGGCTTAGTTGCTCCGCAGCACGTGGGATTTTCCCGGACCAGGGCTCGAACCTGTGTCCCCTGAACCGGCAGGCGGATTCTTAACCACTGCACCACCAGGGAAGCCCAAAATGGCCTCTTTAGATTAGGTGGTCAAATCAGGTTCCTTAGAGGAGATAAACTTTAAGCCAAGACCTAAATGGTAAGAATGATCCAGCCAAGGAAGGATGAGAGAAGAGCATCCCAAGCTGAGGGAAAAGCTAGGGTAAAGGCCCTGAAGTTGGGGCAAGCATGATGTAGCCACGGATCAAAGAGAGGGGCAGTATGATTGGAGTGCAGAGGGTCAGGAGAAGAGTTATATGAAACGAGATCCCAGAAGGAAGCAAGACCAGCTCCCGGGAGACGTTATAATCCAGTATTGGGAGTTTGGATTTCATTCTAAGTGCAATAGTACATTAGGTAGGACACAGGCAGGGTGCTATAACAAGCAACCCCAAAATACAGTGGCTTCAACAAGACAGTGCTCTACATAATGGCTCAATCCATGTCAATCCTTGTAAGTAACTGACCTAAAACCTAAGTTGGGTGGCACTTGCAGACTTATTCACTGGATTCCTTGAACTGTGTATAAGGAAACGTTAAAGACTCAGTATGACATAGTGAGCTATAATTTCATTGATTAATGTATTATAGTGTATTTTGAAAACAGATTTATCTTGACTCACCCTAGAGAGACAAGATAGCAGAGTGGCTAAGAGCCCAGGCTCTGCACTCACCATGGGTTAAGTTGTGACTGTGAGGCAGTTACAGGGCCTCTCTGAGAGCCACCTTGTCTTCCTGTAAAGGCTGAACAGTGATAGCACCTACCTTACAAGGTGGTGGTTGTAGGAATCAATCTGCAGAAAGTCAGTGAATGGTAGTTGTTATCCAAAAAGATATCAGGTGGCCACTGCCCCATTTGCATGAGAGTCAATATGGCGTGGAGACGCTACTAGACATGCTGAATATATGGATTAAAATTATGGTATTGGCAACTAATTTATTTTGCTGGATTCCTAAAATCTGGAAAATAACCATGGACATAAAGTTATATCACAGAGACTCTTTTTTTTTTTTTTTTTTCCGGTACGCGGGCCTCTCACTGCTGTGGCCTCTCCCCTTGCGGAGCACAGGCTCCAGAAGCGCAGGCTCAGCGGCCATGGTTCACGGGCCCAGCCGCTCCGCAGCATGTGGGATCTTCCCGGACCGGGGCACGAACCCGCGTCCCCTGCATCAGCAGGCAGACTCTCAACCACTGCGCCACCAGGGAAGCCCGAGACTCTTTTTTTTTATGTTGGTATTTGTTCTTATTTTGATCATTGGATGGTATATTAAATGTTACAGAAAAAGGAGATGACCAAGAAAGGGCTGCATGGGATGGACTGGAGGAAACAAACATGGAGGGACTATCTCAGTGGAAAAGTGAAAGGTCAGTTCTGGGCCCGCCCCTCCTCAGCCCCACCCCCAACCAGTGCCTTTCATGGTCCTCTTCCACTGAGGGCACAATGGACAAGGAGTATCAAAAATAAACATTCTCTTTTCACACTCACGTCACAGGATGCTTGACATGACATTTCTGTTTCCCTTTTCCTATTTTCTATGAAACAATTTTATAAAGTATTTTCATTTGTAAGTTAGCTTAGGAAATATCAACATGTTTTCTAGAATTCCTTCACTTCAACAAGAACAACCACAACAATAAAACCAGACAGGTTCTAGAGAAAGAAAAATCCAGATGAGAGCAGGTAATATTCCAGGAATCCTTTTGTGTTAGCTCTGCCAGTTTTTCTCCCCACCATCCCTGCATGGGTGCATACACACACACACACACACACACACGCACACAGCTTCTCAGAACAACGGGTCAGCATGAACCGTACAGAGAAGTCTCACTACACCGTGAGTTTGTCTCTTGTTCCTCCTGCTTGTCTATGGGAGTGACCAGTCTGAGGGAGACTGAGGGTCCATGAGTATTAAACACATGCAAGTAGAAGCAGGAAAACTCTCACCACTGCTAGTTACCTTCCCTTGTGTTTTCAGAGTTCCTGGTGTAGGAGGACGTAAAGTCGAAGAATTTACTAATTTAATAGTAGAATCTAACCACTTCTCACCACCTCCCTCTCAACCTTCTTTCTTGCATGAATTATTCCATAGTGTCCCGGGGCTCTTCCCTGCCAGGTTTGTGCCCTTCCAGTCATTTCCAACAGACAAGCAGAGGACTCATTAAGATGTATGTCAGAATCTGCCACTCCTCTACTCTACGTCCTGTACTGGTTTCTTATTTCAGTCAGAGGAAAATCCCCAATCCTTACAAGGTCTGACGTCTTGAATCCACCTCCCCCAATTCCACAAGTCATTCCTCACATTTTCCAAACATGTCCCCCCGCCATCAGGTCTCTGAACTTGTACCTGCTCTCTCTCTCCAGAATACTCTATCCCCAGACAACAAGTGGCTCACTTCCTCACTCCCCTTAGATCTTTGCATGAAGGTCCTGTGAGGCCTTTTTAGACCATTCTGTACAAAATATCACTCCCCAGTCACCCTCAGGTCCCCTCATTTAGTTACTTTCTTTCTAGCCCTGATCACCACCTAACAGATAAATTTATTATTTTGTGTATAGTCTCTCCTTTCTTACCCCTTACTAGAATATAAGCTGAGTCAGAAGAGAAATTCTATCTGTTCTATTCACTGTTATATCCTCAGTGGCTAGAAAAAGTGCCTGGCAGAGTAGGTACTCAATAAATATCTTGAATAATAATATGAAATTCTTAGTTCTCCAACCACCTCTGTTCTATGTCTAATCAAACACTTGAAGCCTGGTTCTTCTCTCAAAATCCTCAGAATTCTGCATCCATGAGTTTCTTCATCTATAAAATGTGGGTAATAGTACTTCTCTCCCAGAGTTTTGTGATGGATAAGTGAGATAATATACGTGAAGTGTTTAGTATATCTCTTAGCACCTCAAAACGCTTCAAGAAATGGAAATTGTTTCTATCATTATCCCTATTTGGCAGTGATCCAGATTGCTTTTGCCACCAACCTAAAGACATATGGAGGCACAAGGACAGGAACCATCATGTTTATTTCCGTGTTTTGGACTTTCTATACACATGGCTAAGTGTTATTGAAAGTCAGATATTCACTCAAGAGACTCTCTATGTTCACAAATACAAAGTTGAAGAAAAACTTCATGGCATTAATTCAGGGGCCCACAGCATTCAGTGATGAAGAATTACTTTCACTGAGAACTTATGTCCACACAAAAACCTGTACACAGATATTTATAGCAGCTTTATTCATAATTGCTAAAACTTGGAAGCAACCAAGATGTCCTTCAGTAGGTGAATGGATAAACTGGGGTACATCCAGACAATGAAATATTATTCAGTGCTAAAAAGAAATGAACGATCAAGCCATGCAAAGACATGGAAGAAACCTAAGTGCATATTACTATGAGAAAGGAGCCAATCTGAAAAAGGAACATACTGTATGATTCCAACTATATGTCATTCTAGAAAAGGCAAAACAATGGAGACAATAAAAAGACAAGTGGTTGGGCTTCCCTGGTGGCGCAGTGGTTGAGAGTCTGCCTGCCAATGCAGCGGACACGGGTTCGAGCCCTGGTCCGGGAAGATCCCACATGCCGCGGAGCAACTGGGCCCGTGAGCCACAACTACTGAGCCTGCGCGTCTGAAGCCTGTGCTCCGCAACAAGAGAGGCGGCGATAGTGAGAGGCCCGCGCACCACGATGAAGAGTGGCCCCCGCTTGCCACAACTAGAGAAAGCCCTCACACAGAAACGAAGACCCAACACAGCCAAAAATAAATAAATAAATTTATTAAAAAAAAAAAAAAAGACACGTGGTTGCCAGCGGTTGTGGGGTGGGCGGAGGATGAATTGGCATAGAGGATTTTTAGGGAAATGAAAATACTCTGTATGACACCATAATGATGAATACACGTCATCATGTATCCATAATGTATCCAAACCCTTAGAATGTACAACACCAAGAGTGAATGATAGCATAAACTATGGACTTTGCATGATTATGAGGAGTCAATGTAGGTCCATCCGTTGTAACAAATGCACCACTCCAGTGTGTGTGTTGATAATGGGGGAGACTGTGCATGTGTGGAGGCAGGAGGGATATGGAAAATCTCTGTACCTTCCTTTCAATGTTGCTGTGAATCTTAAACTGCTCTAAAAAAATCTTCATTTTTAAAAATTTCTTTTCATTTTCTTAAAGCTTTCGGGCTATCAAAAGAGGATGTGGCAGGGGGGTGTTGAATATGACCTAGCAACGCAGTTCCTAATGTGAACTGGGTGAGAGGAACTTCTGCCAGCTATTATATATCTATCTCCCTTCTGGGAATCCTGACTTGCCTCAGTGATGGGGGTGTGACACAGTACCTGGCTTGGAAATCTATAAGCCAAGCTCTGAGATCAAGTCAAAGACTCAATAAATGGGTTGGAACCCTAATCCAGATTCTTGGTGAATACAGTCAGATGTTGGCATTAAAAACAAAAAATCCTACAGGGTTTAACAAATCACATAACCACTTAACATTATATGTTGTCTTTCCAGGATTTGAACTCATCTTCCTCATTCATATGAGGTGATGTGTGAAAAAAGTCATCTGAGGTGAATCAGTGATAAAATCCTCAGAATTACAATGAAACAGATCAGAAGCATTTACGTATTTTGTAGTATTGTTACGTCAGTGCATAGTGGGGCTTCAAAGCTGCCAGAAGAAACAGAATTGACCACCAACTGCTCAAACGCGTCTTTAAGAAAGGTTCCTGAAGACTTGACCCCAACCATAACCGCACTGGATTTGTCCTACAACCTCCTTTTTCAACTCCAGCGTTCAGATTTTCATTCCCTCTCTAAACTGAAAGTTTTGATTCTATGCCATAACAGAATCCAAGAGCTGGATATCAAGACCTTTGAATTCAACAAGGAGTTAAGCTATTTAGATGTGTCTTACAACAGACTGAAGAGTGTAACTTGGTTCTCGCTGGCAGGTCTCAGACATTTAGATCTGTCCTTCAATGACTTTGACACCGTGCCTACCTGCGAGGAGACTGGCAACATGTCACACCTGGAAATCCTAGGTTTGAGTGGGGCAAAAATACAAAAATCAGATTTCCAGAAAATTGCTCACTTGCATCTAAATACTGTCTTCTTAGGATTGAGAACTCTTTCTCATTATGAAGAAGGTAGCCTGCCCATCTTAAACACAACAAAACTTCACATTGTTTTGCCAATGAACACAAATTTCTGGGTTCTTTTGCGTGATGGAATGAAGACTTCAAAAATATTAGAAATTACGAATATAGATGGCAAAAGCCAATTTGCAAGTTACGAAACTCAGCAAAATCTTATTTTAGAGAATGCCAAGACATCCATTCTGTTACTTAATAAAGTTGATTTACTCTGGGATGATCTTCTGCTTATCTTCCAATTTGTTTGGCATACGTCAGTAGAATACTTCCAGATTCAACATGTGACTTTCGGAGGTAAGGTTTATCTTGACCACAATTCATTTGACTACTCGAATACTGTAATGAGAACTATAAAATTGGAGAATGTACATTTCAGAATTTTTAATATCCCACAGGAGAGAGTCTACTTGCTTTTTACCAAAATGGATATAGAAAACCTGACGATATCAGATGCGCAAATGCCTCATATGCTGTTCCCTATCTATCCTACAAGATTCCAATATTTAAATTTTGCTAACAACATCTTAACAGATGACGTGTTTAAAACATCTATCCAACTGCCTCATTTGAAAACTCTCATTTTGAAGGACAATAAATTGGAGACACTTTCCTTGGTGAGTTGCTTTGCCAGCAACACATCCTTGAGGCACTTAGATCTGAGCGAAAATCTGTTACAACATGAAAATGATGAAAATTGCTTGTGGCCAGAAACCTTGATCACCATGAACTTGTCGTCCAACAAATTTGCTGATTCTGTTTTCAGGTGCTTGCCCAGAAATATTCAAATACTTGACTTGAATAATAACAAAATTCAAACTGTCCCTAAAGGCATTATTCACCTGACATCCTTGCGAGAGTTAAATCTTGCATTTAATTTTCTAACTGATCTTCCTGGGTGCAGTCATTTCAGAAGACTCTCAGTTCTGAACGTTGAAATGAACTTAATTCTCAGCCCATCTCTGGAGTTTTTCCAGAGCTGCCAGGAAGTTAAGACTCTAAATGTAGGAAGAAATCCATTCCGATGTACTTGTGAATTAAGAGATTTTATTCAGCTTGAAAAATACTCAGAGGGCATGATGGTTGGGTGGTCAGATTCATACATCTGTGAATACCCTTTGAATCTAAAGGGGACTCCGTTAAAGGATGTTCGTCTTCCTGAAATATCTTGCAACGCAGCTTTGTTGATTATCACCATTGTGGTTATCATGCTAGTTCTGGGGACGGCTGTGGCCTTCTGCTGCCTCCACTTTGATCTGCCCTGGTATCTCAGGATGCTAGGTCAATGGACACAGACATGGCACAGGGTTAGGAAGACCAGCCAAGAACAGCTCAAGAGAAATATCCAATTCCATGTGTTTATTTCATACAGTGAACATGATTCTGCCTGGGTGAAGTATGAATTGATTCCCAATATAGAGAAAGAAGATAGTTCTGTCCTGATTTGCCTTCATGAGGGAAACTCTGACCCTGGCAAGAGCATTACTGAAGATACCATAAACTGCATTGAGAAAAGTTACAAGTGCATCTTTGTTTTGTCTCCCAACTTTGTCCAGACGGAGTGGTGTCATTATGAACTCTACTTTGCCCACCACAATCTCTTCCGTGAAAGTTCTGATTACATAATGCTTATCCTACTGGAACCCATTCCGCTCTACTGTATTCCTACCAGGTATCCTAAGCTGAAAACTCTCATGGAAAAGAAAGCATACTTGGAATGGCCCAAGGATAGGCGTAAGTGTGGCCTTTTTTGGGCAAACCTTCGAGCTGCTATTCGTGTTAATTTATTAGAAACCAGAGAGATGTGTGAACTGCAGACATTCACAGAACTGAATGAAGAGTCTCGAGGTTCTGCAATCTCTCTGATAAGAACAGACTGCCTATAGAGTCCCACCCACCCCTAGGGAAATCGGGACCTGAATATACTGTTAGGATATAAATTGACACAACCTTTATCATGGCAATTTGGCAATATCTATTAAAATGAAAAACTATCATTCCTTCATGTCAGTTCCTTGAAGGAGCTCTAAGAATGTATCCTATAGAAATGCAATTTGCAAAGGTTTATGTAAAGAAGGTATTCATCCTGGCATTGTTTGTAATCATGAAAAATTAAAAACAGCTCAAATGTCCACAAAATAAGGATTGATCTAACAAATCATAGTACATTAATGTAACAGAATATTACACAGCCATTAAAAAATGAGGTAGCTCTCTATTTTCTGGTATGGAGAAAGTTAGATTTTGGTTTATACATTGAAATAGGAGTCTAAAGGAATATATACCTGTACATTGGTGTGGTAACAGTGGTTAGGATCTGGAAGTTTGGATTACAGGAAGCATTTGGTTTCTATGTTGTATATTCCTGTAATGTTGGAGTTGCTTAGAATGAATCTATACTTCTTTTGCAAGCAGAGGAAACAATAAAGATAATGTTAAAAGCCTACACATCCTACTCATTTTGTTTGATTGTCCCTTCTAGCCTCACAGTTCATTGAAAGAAAACAAGCTCTCTTGAATTTTGCGAAGTTATATTTCAAAAACAAACATCAAGAACAAACATGTTCTTTCCCTATTGGCTCACCCACATGATAAAGGAAGGAAATGCCTTTAAGATCTGACACCAATCACCTCTTGCACCCTTGCAACCCATCATTGAACCGTATCAAATTAATGGCCCTTTCCCAGAACACTCATCTCCTTTCATGCCCCCAGACTCTAGAACTTGGCATCATGTCTGCCTGTGATACCTTTCCTGACTTAGTTCGTTTAGGAAATCTTACATATCCTTCAGGTGCAATCCAAATGTCAACTCTTCTTTGAAACTTTCCTCATTTCTTCCCCCAAGCATGATGTTCCTCTATTCTCTACAACACTTGGGACATATTTTCATCACCAAACTGATGCTATATCTTTAAAAAACATCCCTTTCTTACTCTTTTATGAGCTCCTCAAAGGTGAGGACAGACTTCCCTCTGCCCTTGTATCAGCAGCAGTTTGCTTAGTCCATGGTTCAGAAAAGATGCTCAATGAATGTTTATGGAATGGACATTGGGTTAGCTAGAGGAACTTAGTAGGGACTCAACTGGCTTCAGGATAGAGAGTGGAATTTGAAGGCAAATTCTGAGAAGCTGAAGAGGAAGAGCAGGAATAGGTGAAAGGAAGAGAAGACTGAGAACCCAGAATTGACGGATTCCTGAGTACAGCTTGAATCAGGTGAATTTGCCAATATTTGGTTGTTCTTGACTTACAAAAATATCTATTTCAGCTCATTCAAGCTAATAAAACCAATCTCCTAAGCAGGCTAAAATTGGGCTCTGCATCTACTGTATTTCCTTATAGTTTGTGGTCGTACGAATTCCTCACACTAGTAGCCATTAAAAAAAGTGGACTCAAGAAGGTCAGCCTGAGAGTGTAGGGAGAAGGCTGGTGTCAATCTAGAAGCCAGGTTGTACTTCCATTTGGTCAATGGCCAGTCTGCTCTGAGGAGCTCGAGCTCAGCAGCCCTGAGGCTGAGTGTCTCTCTTCTTCCTTCCTGGTGAGCCTTGGTCTGTCTGGTAGAAGGGGAAGCCCGAGGGAACCTCAGTGGAGAGATGGCAGAGGATTAGGAGAATACCTCTCCTCCCAGGCTCCCAGCAGCCGGGCTGCTGATATTAGTGTGATTCACGGCTTCGGAAAGAGTCAGACAGACACTGTATGAAGACTTTGTCGATCTTGCATGAATTAGTGTGAGACTCTTACCTTTACAGATTAATTAACTTGGAACAAACAAAGAGGATAACATCAGCCCTAAAGTTGTCAGGATTGGGTTATTCATGGCAGTTATTCCAGTCTTCAGTTTAGTAATACAGTTTTTTAAATAGACATTTTATTATAATTTAAAAAAATAACACATTAGCCTTAGTTCTCAGCAACTTCTAATTTTAGCAGCTGGACAACCCCTAAATCTTCCCCACAATTATTTGAGATCTAGATTCTATCTGCAGTCTCTCCCTACTCACCAGGGCGTCCTGCATTTGCAACCTGATTCACATTCCTAAAACAACGATCTTGTTCTATCAGTAGATCTTGTTCTATCAGTAGCTTATGACCGGAGGCAGCTTCTCAGATTAGCCACCCTTTGTCCACAAGCCAGAACGTGTTCTTTGTATAAAGGATGAAGAATAATTGGGATCCCGGTTTCCCCTGGAGGTTGTGAGGACAACTTCCCCACTGGTACTCTGCTGGGGAAACTTCCCATGGTCTCTTAGCTCCGTTTTTCACCTGTGTGAAGCTGGTACTGATCTCAGCCCTCCATTATCATTTTTCTATTTATTTGGCTTATTCCAACTTCCCCCACTAGAATGCAAACTCCTTTAGAGCAGAGATTTTGTCTATTTTGCTCACAGATGTTGTTTCCACCTCTGCCCAGGACAGTGCTTGGCACATGGCTACTCTCCAAGGATTTCCCAAAGGAAATATAGTTTGTCTGTAGACACTTTGTTGATTGGCCGCCTCTGCTCTTCTCAGGTCCAGCAGGGCAGCCAAGGCCACCCACTTCAGTGTCAGCCCTTGTTGTACATCAGGCACATAGATTTACTCAGCAGGGAGCCTTCTTCACCTTCAGTAAGTATATTTTGCTTACACTTTCTGGGACCAGCCGTCCCTGGGTCGTCTCCCTCTGCCCCCCACCTTTGGCTCGTCTCTTTACTTCCTCCTGTTGGGATCCGCTTCATCTCAGGGGCTTGCTGTGGACAGCCCTTGAATTTCAGAGTCTGCAGATTATATGAATCCCCACAAATGGGTTTTATGGTCCCCCCACAACCCCCATCAGTGCCCCTCTTCTTGTTGCTGTATCAGCTTTTCAAGAGGAGAAGGGGAAGTTCTGGGCCAATAAAGCCTCTGCCATGGCCCACTCCTCAGACCCCTTCCCCTCTCCCCCACCCCCAGGTCTTGGGAGAGACTTCCTTGAATTTTCTGATAGGTCTTCTTGCTTCTGTAGTTCCCTGGTAGCATGTCTGTAATGACGGGTACATTCTTAAGCCCTGGTATGGCCAGGCCTGACAGTGTCCTCCAAGCAGGATGTCCCCAGCCCACATCCAGACCCACATGGATCCTGGTCTTCCCATGACCCTTCAAGGTACTTCCTGACCCTCTGCCTTGCACATGAGGCCAACCAGATATCCTACGGAGCTCTGGATCTCGCACCTGTGGGGTCCTCTCAGAGACCAGTGGGTGGGCCTCCATTTGAGGCAGACAGTCTGGCAAGAAGATCACTTCTGCTGGCTGAAACAGCGTGGGGTCACCCAAGATTGGGCCACCAGAATGGTGCACACGTGCTGATTTGGGGTGACTCTCATATCGACCACAAGATGACGTCGGGGGTCTGGGCTACCAACAGTCTACCACCAACCCTTGGGCTTGAGCCAGCCGTGTAGGCCTGTGTCCATCTGTGATTTGACTGTGGTGCCACCTCCTGTCTTCAGTACCTGTGGCAGGTGTGACAACAGATGCTGCCTGCTTCATCCCCCAGCCCCCAGCATCCCGGTGATAACCACCATTGCTGCAGCTCTGTGCCATGTATTAGGTAGTCCTTGGAGGATGGCTTTCAAGACTGAACACCAATGGGCTTTCCGGTCAATGTGCTCTCTCACCTCCCATTGACATGGCGACATCATGCTCTCCCTGTCGTAAGCCATGTTCATAAGGGAAGGACATATGTTGTGGGAGTGGAACTGAGCCTCTCTCTTCTTGCATGGACCCCTCACTACCCTCCCCACTGGCGATGGTGTGTTTTCAGTCAACACTGAAAGAGCTCCCATTCTAGGGAGGCAGTGATCACCATCTCAAGAGTCCAAGAGAAGACATGACTGGAATATGCCTTATTCTATGTTTCCACCATAAAATTCTGAATGTTAGACTAAACAGGACCAGAAATCAAATATTAGTTTATGTTTTCCTACATACTCTGGGGAAGACTTGCGTCAGTGAGGCACAGCACCCAGCTTTGAGTCACTGTAAGGCATCGTGGACAGATGCAGTGACATGAGTAATAATAAAACCATCATTACAGACATGCTATCAGGGAACTGCAGAGGCAAGAAGATCTATACTGTTTAATGGAAACAGGTTCCGAAAAGCCATGTGGTTTGTGTGGTTAATTACAGCATTGCTACGTTTTGGGGTTTTTTTTGGTGGAAATGAACCAGGAACAGTACATTGGACAATAAAATGCCTGAAGAGATGGTTCCTGGATTTGAACAGGGCGAGATGGTGCTCGAACCCTACAAAGAATCTTCCGATGCACAATGGACAATGGACAAGTAACTCTTCTCTATCCATCTCCATGAAAAAGCCACTATACTTCACATAGGTCTGTACCTTGCGAAACATTTTAAAATCCGGTTATTTATATAATAAGTATAAAAATTAGGAGCTCTGCAAAAAGAATTTTCCTGCCGCCCTGCACACCCTAGAGGCAGCTCTGAGAAGGAGAATATCGTGGCTTATGCAGCCAGAACATACATTGCTTCTTATCTCTTGGTGGCACAATGACTTATTTCAGTTTCAAAGTAAGTCACTGGCAGCAGGACAGTTTTTGTCTCAAGTGCTAATGGGGATGTGGTGAAATTCAGCGCTAAGACTGATGGATCTGAAAGTTTCGAACAGGAAAATTCTAGTACCATGATATTAAGGTTATAGGAAGTTCCTCCTATGGTTTTCATAAAAAACTGAAAGAAGAAGAGGCATCTCTTATTTTATGTCACGATGGGTGAACGTACCACATTATTAACTTATGTTCTCCCCATGGAGGAAGTTACAGCCTTAGTTGTGCCCAGGAACTCTCTAGTCCTAAGGCCCTGAAGAGTTTGGCTTCCTGGAAACAGTACCTTTGGTCCTGGGAAAAAAATAGACCAGAGACATATGCTGGAAGAATCTCTACCAGGTTAGCTCTCATTGTCATTAGGACCAATGTCTTCTTTTAATTCCTAGACTCACTAGCCCTGAGGAGATCCAGAGACCCAACAGCCCTCAACCTCCTCCTGGTTCTTTTATTTCTAGAAAAGAGGTGAATCAGTCTCCATGATGCTGTTTGAACTATCCTGGCCTACTGTGTAACAATACAAACCTGACCCTTCTTGGGGTTTATATGTGCCTGTCACTGTTCTAAGGCTGTTATGAACTTTACCTGTTAATTCTCATAGACCTGTGAATTCAATTTTATTATTATTCTCATATAATAGACAAAGTACCCAAGGTACCAAAAAGTTAAGGTTTCATGGCTAGTAAATGACAGAAATTCAAGGTGGTCTCATTACAGAGCCTGCTTTCATATCTTTTCTGCTAGGCTGCCTCCCAAGAGCTTGGAAACTAACTACTGTTCCTGCTAGACCCTGTTCGCAGATGGAGGGATCTTGTTGCATAAGAGCAATTAGCATGATTTGGTGTGTAACCCAAGTGCTTCCA